TGATCACATGAAACAATCAATCGAAAGCCCTCTACTCTAGTGGTACAACTGCAAAATTCAGTTCATGGTTGCTATGGTAGCATAGGTTTGTATTGCACAACTTTATTTCTGCTACTATCACTGTGTTGTTAACAGAAATAAAGTTTCTGGTTTGCAGAATTCAGCTCAGCGTTAGTACGATCTGCGTTAGTGTGAGTTTGAAAATAATCGCAGAATAACCTGAGGTAGATGCAGTAAGCCGTGAATGGCCGATGTACTGGTGGGGGGATTAGCGTGAGAAGTGAGCGCTGTGAGTTGAGGATCAATGGAGTGAGGTGCAGAGCCTGAGGTCATATTATTGGCACCAACATACGCAGCCGCAGCAGCGATCAGATGCTGTTGATGCTCATCTGATGAAATGATCTGCTGTTGAGCTTGCTGGTGATGATGTTGTTGCTGTTGCTGGTAATAATCTAATAAGTTGGGCTGATGACTGGCATCTGTTAGGATTGATTCCTGAAATTTTTATCAACTTATCAACTGATTTCAATAGATTAAACGATAAACTCTGATCACGGAAATCCATGAAGCAATGAAACTGACTTCAAGCGCTCAGCTGATATTTAACAATTTTAATAGTCAGAAGTCACGATTTTCACAAGCTTTTGGTTTACCTACTGTTAGCTATTCACTACTGGTGATCGAACTGAAAGCTTTGCTAGCATGAAACTCATCAGAAAATTATTCCCCACGAGCAGGTAAATGAGAAGGTGATGAAGCGAAATCAAGACTTTAAAATTTAAGCAGCAAATGATGTTTAATGCATTGCTGTATTGCTGTCAACTGTATGAGAGCAAGTATATTGTAGAGATTGTGTTTCAGATAGTGATCAGTCATGTTTGTGATCAATCAGTTCAACAAGATGCATGTTTCAGAGCACATCCAACAATCAAATGAAACTAACTGCTTGTTGCTCGTGTGTTAAAATACCGAATGGCAGTTGCTGAGCACTGAAAGGGAGTGTGGTACGATGCACCGTTGCTGGTGTCGAGGGTTGATGGTGTTGAGAGGGGTGTTGATCTGCTGCTACTGCTGCTGCATGACGTTGTTTCTTTTTACGACCCCGATTCGACGAGGTTGTAGCACGTGTAGCGACCGCCGTATTCCGGGCGGTGGGCAGCGCCGAGGGACGCATTAAAACGGGTGGTGCCGTTTGAGATGGATCACTGAAAAAATTGCTCGATTTTCTGGAAATTCGATTGATTAGTGATCTTTGCTGCTTGATTGATACTTAGATGAGCATCTCGATTATGAGTGAGTTATGAGCACTGCTTACCTTGATGATGGATTTTGCGCTATATAAGCTGGAATTGCACTGGACGCTGAGGATACTGTAGATGATGTGTCGCTATTGGCCAGTTTCATGGCTAGACCGGTGAGCGTATTTGGCTGCGGCATTACCGGGAGAGCTGCTACAGCTACTGAAATCGCAGAAATATCCATTATTGTTCTCTGTGCTGATCACTATTGATCACTATTGATCACTTATTGATTGTGGTATCATTATCGTTGCGATTATCAGTCCTTAGAACAAGTGTCATTCACCACTATCATTATTATCAATGCCATTCTCGATTATCATTATCACCGCTGTTAATACCTGTAGATGAAGAAGAAGGCAATGCGGCTGTAGACTGCAGATTCCGTGGTGATTGCAAAAGGGAATCGTCGAATGAGAGCAATTTAGCCTTCAGTGATGCGCGTTTCTCGAGTAGCATTGTACCTTCCACCTCGCTTAAATTGATTATCAATTCAGCACAATACTCATATACAACGGTCAAATTACACAGCAATTCATGTACATTGACAGCTTTTTGAAAAGTGCTCACAATCACTAGATCTCATAATATCTTTCGTAATCATCTGCAGCAAGCGAAACTTCAATCAAATTGAACGAAGATAGCAGCAAGATTGTTTGGTCATTGAATTACATTGAATTACAGTGACTGGTTATTATCGCTTGTGTTTTATATAGCCTTTAGTTAGTAGTTTGCTGTTGTTCACTTGTGTAGATTAGAAAATGTTAGGAAAAGTTGATGTGAAAATGAAACTAACGTCAGAAGTCGATGTGTAAGACCAATGGATTCCGGTTTACCGTTTTTGTAGAACATACGACAACTACTCTGAATCCAGTAGATTCGTTTCGAGCGTACACTGATAAGACGATAGATCAAAAGACCACTCGCACTGTTCTTTACCACTGCAAAAAATTAACAATGGGTTGATATTTTAGTCAAATTTATTGTGAAAGTATTGTTTCGTGATTGAGAGATAGGATATCTTGATATAGAAAATGTCATATCTTGAACATATCATGCTGGTCCAAGTTTTACAAAGAGGACAGTTGAGCTAAGCAGTAATAGAGATTTGTAAAAAGCCAATAGATTTCTATCGCGTTTTGGAGTTGATAATCGAATTCACAACAAAAGTGGTATTCAACTGAATTTTGAGGAGTGAAGCTTGCTCAGAACTGAACATGTTTCGTAACTGAACCCTCGATTAATGAAAATGAAGTGCAATGAATTTGGAATTAAAATAGATCGTAACCACCTTCTTTATGAGCTTCAGCCAAGCAGAGTGCGTCACCAACATGCACAAGACTGTAGAAACTCATCGGTAGATGCTTATCGTCGAGTTCAAGCATCGACCTTAAAATCCAATAGGATATCATGAAAATTATATGTATATAAATTTACTGGGAACGGTTGAGGAGTGCATGTTTTGCTCGAGACCGAATAATGTACCATTATCAATGGTGTTGCTAAGCCTGAGCAAGTTTATGGTTTGGCTTCGATCTAACAATAACAAATCTCTATTCACATTCGTTCCTCTTTCAGAAAACTCCCTCAAAACTTGGATAGTTCAGTCAGTAATATAAACAAATCGAATCTGTAGCTGGCTATATACGTCACATTCTATGATCACATAAACAGTAAAAATTCATCGAACATTAAAATAATTTGAACAAATTGATGAAGTATTACTGATTCCAAGCAGTAGGAAACTATTAAAACAACAGTCATTACGATAAAGATTAACCTGACACGATTATCCATAGAAATGAGCGTAAAATCTAACGAATGCTTCGTTTTGAGTATAGGATCCTCACTCGGTTGATCAATGACATTCGGTGGCACAAATGGGCTGGAATGCAATTTGGATTATATTCAGAATTCCGATCAGACATGACTGCGCTTCCACAGTTCAAATTGACCACAATAAATGGAAAAAAGTAATTGATCACTGATAAATTCAAATAACATTAAGAATGATCCACCATTATCGATCAGACACCAATGAACATTCAAGTTGACTCTAAGGAACTCTACTTTATATGCTCAAATATCAGTCTGCATTTTCGATCATTCACGCTCAGGAAAATGAAGATAATATGAGGTGCAATCTGACCTGCAAATAGCCACAAGACCCAGCACTGTATTGCCTGAGGAGTTTGTATCGGAACGTCCGATTACATACGATTGCGGTAAACCATGAAGCGACATCAGCTTACCGCGGATATCGATCCTCTGCAATGATATGCAACCATGATATCACGCTGCATATTCCAATCGTTAAAAAACACAAAACTGAACGGTGAATTTCAAAACGTACCAAAAATCCGCATGTGTTGTCAAGCAAACATCGGAATCGAGCATTCACATTTCTTTCGAGATAATGCATCCCACCTGAAAGGATTCAGATATGGTTATGAAGGATACTTGATGATTTCAAATCATGTCGATCTATAAGAACTGGAAAAGTTTCTTGCTCGTCTTGATATTGAAACTGAGTTCGCAAGAAAGCCTAAAGATGGTTTTCATTCTTCCATCTTCTCAGTATCACCAGCTTGTCCCGGTCTAACAGGGGTTTCATTCGTCTTAACAGGATTTTCATTCTTTCCCTTGTTGTTACAGTCACTCTCATAGCTTTTATCACCGAAAGTGTTCTCTTCTGTTAATTTCTCATTCATTTCGCTCAACAGTCAAAGTGAAATTCTCATTCTATCAAATACACTCTATAATTGATAATTTGATTGTTGAACGTTGTTGAGCAATTCAATTCCATTGTTGTACTGTTGATTTCTGCTGTCAACACACGTCAACGTATCCAATAAATAGTATATGCTACAGAATGAGAAATTGTAAAGTGAATCGAGACGAAGTGAATGATAAAAACTAATCAAGAGAACGATATTCGCATGCGATAGCTATGAGAGTGAATAGAACACGTCTAAAAAGAATGAGAATTCATCTAAATCAGTTTGCATGGAGCATGTCATAAACAATAACTTTTCATGCAATCATAATCGATTGTAACAATGAGCAACAAAATGAACCTGGCGTGAGCAGGTCTTGCAAGCAAGTGACATGCGGTGGTATATTGTAGTTCCACGCCAATTGCTGTTTAATATCCTCACGATCTTCCGAATGAATCATATCGAATAGTGGTTGGTGAAGGATATCTGACTGAAATTGCAAAATGATATGCCATCAAATGAATATGATATGATCTAATGTTAGTAAGAAGTTCTGCGCGTTCGAGCAAGGAGGACCACCACTCTCGAAATATTTGTTCTCATAAGAACAATGAGGAAAAATCAGTCAAGATGCATACTTTAATATGTTTACATCTGCAAATTTCTTGCTTGTTATCAACTGAGCGATTTTCTATTCTCAATGGATGGTTATTCGCAAAAAGCAGTTGTACTGTAAAGTGATCTAACTGAGCGATAAAACTGATGGATGGAGGAGAGATAAACCAAAGGAATGGAATCTTTCACAAACAGAAACCTGATGAAAGCCGAGGTATGTTTCGATATTCTCTGATGCATAATAAATTTCACCGTTCTCATTCAGTATCAATATGAAGCCACCCAATGCCTGAAACAATACTGCTGATAACTGCGGAAAATCTGTGAGATGAATAGAGCCGTAAAAAAGCAGGTAAAATTTGTGTAGAAAAGAATCTAAATTCAAAGCAAAACAACTACGCAGATTGATAATTCGACCTTCTATTATGTTCATTTCATACTACTGAAAATACTTTCAATTCAAGATTTTCGGGCAGTATATTGCGCCCTCAAAATAATCACTTCAAAATGCGGCACATGTCAATCAGATTCGAATTATGTTCTGATAAAACTAAACATATGCGACACCGAATCTTTCACATTGTTGAAGCATTGAATGAATAATGAACTGGATTTCTGCTTGTTATCAACTGAGCGATTACTGATGAAAATGGAAAGGCGTTGGAAAGAAACTGGTTACTTACTCTGAGAGCCATAGTCTCGAAATCATGCTCTTTTGCATCGACGAGTGGATGACCGGTAGAATGGTGGATCATCGAAGGGATACCACCATAAGGAGTTGTTGTAGCGCTCAGCACAAATGGATAGGTATGCGTAAAAGCGAACGGGAAATTCGCAATATAAGATGAACGATGTAAGCATGCTGAAATGAGTGAATCACTGGAAACTGATCGATCAGCAGTCTGATAAAGCTATTCAGCCGATGTTATCAGTCTTGCTCAGAAGTCACAAAAATGATGTGACTGATCGGAATGATAAGTTGAATGTGATATGTTATATGTGTAATGTGATCACTCATAGATTTTTGGTGATGTTCTCACTGACAATCCATCCTATCAATTGAGCATGAACGAAATCAATAAATTCTGATCAATATGTTTCTCATCATTGTAACTGAGTATTCCTAAGTCACGATTTGATCTGACATTTTAGAAGTTAGAGTTAAGTTAGGGTTAAACTTAGAGATTTTTTTGATAAATTAGGGTTAAGTTAAAGTTAGGTTATAGAGTTGTTTCAGTTGTTATAAAATCAATAACAGTACCACGGAAAAGGCCAATTCTCCAAAATTACTTATAAATTTCCATGTGAAAAACTGCCAAGTTCTTTTTTTGAAGGTTCTATCGACTCTCATCTATTAAAATGTGAAAATTGAATATAGTCGTGAATTTACAATCTTTATCCCAATGTAATTGCGAATTTAAGTATGAAGAAGTTTATGGATGTAGTCTAGGACGTGTACATAAAGCAGTAAGTGTTATTCACTGAAAATGAATTGAATGCTTGATGAATCAATGAATTTTATAATGATTAGTTGTTGTGTCACG